TATAAATAATAGAAAGCGCTACTACAAGTCTTTGTAATGTGAGTTCCCATTTCTAGATGCGTATCGAACCCTGTGCCGATACGCATCTAGTGAAAATAGTGAAAATAGTGAAAATAGTGAAAATAGTGAAAATAGTGAAAATAGTGACAATAGTGACAATAGTGAAATAGTGAAAGGTGTGTGCCAGTCAGGAGTGGAAGAATATCCTCGATGAAATCAATGGTATATTCAGGGCGTAGCCAGGATTTTCAAACGGGGAGGAGTCACACTGTGTCAAAGTGAGGGTACCCACCAGATCGTCATGGCGTTCTCGCCACCCGTTGTAGGTTGTTCGCTTAAAAAAGGCTTGCAATTGAGGGGGAGGGGGGGGTCACGGGCACCCCAGGACCCCCTGGCTACGCCTTTGATATTGTATTAGTGTGTGGACGTTTACAGTGTGGTTCAGATGAGGTGTGTGTTTGTTCCTACTGCTAAGGTCTCGAATTTCTGAAGTCCTTCAGCGCTAAGAGAAAAATAAAAAAGTGTGACTAAAAAGTTAGTGGTGTTATTGGTATGATAACTGCGGTTTAAGATGCTCCCAGATACATGTTCACTTCTCACTGGCTATATATGTTACTAGGAGCGCACATCAATTAACTAAAAGAGAAAGACCTTGTTACAGCCATCCTTACAACGACGAAACCACTCGGCCCAAAAGCATCGAACTTCTATGCCGCAAATATTTAAACTTCGAAATAGGCGAAACACTTAACCCAAGAATTAAATTAAATTAAAATTAAATTTAGAAACTGAGGAATTCCCATCAGCCTTAGCTGGTTTTCATGGGGTCCTCTGATCTATCCTGCCCGAATTAGAATTTGGATATGCTGGTTTTTGTAAAGGACGGAAACCCGAAAACCCGGAGAAAAACCCTCGGAGCAAAGCGAGAACCAACAATAAACTCAATCAACATATGACACAGGGCCGGAATCGAACCAGGGACACATTGGTAAGAGGCGGGCGCTCTCACCACTGCGCTATCCCTGCTTTCTAAGGTAATCAAATCATCAGAGTCACAATTTCCCTTTATAAGCAATAGACCGCGCTTTCTTACAGAAACACTGAGATAGTAAACACTAAATACTTAGAAACACGTTATTAGACCTGAGATGTTGAGTTTCCCTTCATGATGACAGCCATATTACTGAGAGCAACATAGAAAAGAGGATCATTTGAAACATCGGTTGTTGTTTGGACTTCATCTTCTTTTCAACCCGTTCAAGAGGTGGGATTCTAAATTCAAGAGATAAAGTTCCAGGAGAGAGTAGACTGTCTTGGTATAAGGACAAACACTAGTAAGGTTATAAGAAAAGTGACATTAGACCTGAGATGCTGGACTTCGTTTCAAGATGGCGGCCACATTAGACTAACATGGCGAATGTTTAACATCACACTCTTTTCCACCCGTTAAAGAGATGGGATTCTAACATCAAGGGATAAAGTTTTAAGTCACATTTTATATCTTGATATTCACGCAAAAACTACCAA